CATCGACGGATTCAACTCTATCATCTCTATAACGCGTCAGATTCAGTGAGCAAAATGAACGTGAAACTTTTTCTAGAGTCACGTAAACCATTTTCAGTGCCCTTTGACCTGTGTACATTGTAAATCTTGTATATAGCGAAACCCATTTCCATTTTTCCGCAAGAGCAGAATAGTGGAGTAACGCTATATTTACGTTTACTATGATATCGGTTTAGTCTGTACTAACACAGGTTTTGAGCGCGATTTAGCAACGGACTTCCATACAGATGTTACGGTGTGCCGTATACTGCGCTGTCTTTATGGCATCGTCGATATATTTCGCGATAATTCGGACATCTTTCGACCTGACGGAAACACTTACGTTCCAGCACCAATTTTATAACACTGGATTCGACGTCTAGAATGAGGTGGATTTATTCACGTTAAACGGCTGTGAATAAATCTACCTATTAAATTATCAATTTACCCCAACCTGCACCGAACCGCACAAAAAATTTTTTAAAGAAAAGAACTATTTCCTTACAATTTCTAAATTCATTTGCACAGGTTAAATTTATATTTTATTTATTCTCATCAATGTTTGCCAAGTATATGGTCTAACCACTTTTCAGTATTTACTCATAAACTATGATTTCTGAAATTTAAAAAATTGTTTCGTAAAATTATCCAAATTATTTCCTAATTACTTCATAGATTACTTTTGACAAATAGTTCATTTGTTTGCCAATTAGACAGTCGTCAGAATTCCTTCTCTGGTGAGCAATTCTACGTATTTTACGTTAACATAAAAACTTATTTCTTTGCTTTCGCTAAATGGCGCCTTCGCTATATTCATGTTTAATACACAATAACGGATGTGGTAAAAATTAGAGTATGGCCGCCATTCGTTTACGTCAGTGCTCCGAAGTGATTGAATTAGTGTATAAATGAAAATAAAATTTGACGTAAATAGATTACATAAATTTATCACTGATCAAGTCCTTGGAATAATTCTAAGTTCACAAGGTAGTAAACTTCTGGTCTTCTGAGAAGAGTAAGTGCCCTGTAGGCCAGTAAAACAAGACACGCGTTTATACTTGACACCACCCAAAAAGTCCTGGCAGGCTGAAATTACACTAAAATGTAGAGAAAATTTCCCTGATCATCATATCAAAAATGTGCATCTACACGTTGAGCAAAAATATGCTTAATTAATTAAAAACTAATGAAAAAATGACGGCGAAGGCCAAAAAGCTACACTGGATTGATTGGTCTAATCCTATCGGAAAAATAAAAGTATCCAGAGGTTGGGCTGACTCAATTCTTCAAATTGCAAGTAGAAGCAATGTTCCCAAGCTTTTCGTTATTTTTTATTAAATTTTTTAACATGATTTGGAACAAAAAGTCCCAAATAATCACCTGATCATGTATGCCCGCCCCCCTGTTGCGCGCGTTGCTGGATGCACTGCACAGGGCATTTCAAATTCCTGCGCATCCCGCGTATACCCATGACCGGCGCGCGCAACGGGGGGCCGGGCATACACAATCAGCTGATTGTTTGGGTCTTTTTGTGCTCAACGATGTTTAAAAATTCATTCAAAAATAAGAGTAGGATTAGGATCATTACTTCGACTCGAAATTTGAAGAATTAGATCAGCCCAACCTCTGAATATTTTTATCTTTTCGATAGGATTAGAACAATCAATCCAGTACAGTTTTTTGGCGTTCGCCCCAACTTTTTAATTAATTTTTAATTAATTAAACACATTTCTGCTGAACGTGTGGGTGCACATTTTTAATATGATGATGAGGGGAATTTTCTCTACATTTTGGTATAATTTCAGCCTGCCAGGACTTTTTGAGATGGTTAAGGTCCAATTTAACTGGCCTACTGCCCCAAACTAGGTGAGCTGCTCATTCTTTGAACTAGGCATAAAGGTGCGGACAGCCACACTGTAATCCTCATTTCTCTCTTTATTATGCGCCAAACAAACTTTCCAAAACCGATTCAATTCACATATAAATAAAGCGAGCGTACCACCTGTTAGGAGCAAAAAAATAAGTTTTTATGTTAACATAAAACACGCGAAGTTCCTCCTCAAAATTATAGAGCTGTGAGCTGACGGTTTTTTGAAAAACGCATTTTTAATTTTAAACAGCCACAATCCATTCAATGAAGTCCATAACGCGAATAATTGATGCTTTTCAATCGATGTTGTTGATATTTCATTAACACTTTGCTATCATATGCACAGAGAGAAAAATCCATGAATTTTTATAGTGTAATTATTCCGGTAAAAATTACTGTGCTGCCTCACAATCTCGGCGGAAGCTGCAGGCTTAAGGCAAATTACGATGCCGCTCAGTAAAGTTTTTTCACTGGCATAGGAAAACTTCATTATCGATCAACTAAAAATTCAAAGTGGTTCAATAATATTTTTGTTCAATTTTTCCAAAAATTAAGAATATAAAAAATAGTATTCGGAATATGAACCGTTCACCATTTGATGCGCGTATTAAATTGGTAAGCTTAGAACTAAATAAATGAGTTGAGCCTAAAATTCATCATTGATATGATTTGCGGCCCAATTAGAAACATTGTGTGTGTTCATCGAGCGAAATACATAGAAGGCCCGACTAACCGAATTTTGAACAGGCCTAGGCCTGTATAGTCGGACTGAGGAGATTGTAGTCTTCGGGTTTTACACGAGGTCTCCAGCACATCCCCCCACTACCCTCTACACGCACGCGCATTACTGTTAAAATGTTTTACTCCGCCACCAATAAAATAATTTGAATTTTGTTATTTTTTTCTGCTCATCACTGCGTGATTGATTCCTATTCGTCATCCTTGGTTGTCTATCCATTCAAAATTCAAATGATTTTATTGGCGGCGGAGTAATACATTTCAACAGTAATGCGCGTGCGTGTAGAGGATAGTAGGGGATGTGCTGAAGACCTCGTGTAAAACCCGAAGACTACAATCTCCTCACTCCGACTATAAGTCACTCAGTCTGTGAGGCAACGTTTCACGGCCGTTGCCAATAAACTCGAAATTCTATTCTAGTAGTATATTTTTTATACAGGGTGTCCGAGATAAAATTGTACACCCAAATAACAATTGAATGTGGGTAGTAATCGAAAAATCTTTCAAATAGAAGTTGTAGGGCTCCAAATGGGAAAAATAATACGATATGTTTTGAGCATTCAAGTCTTCATGTTTTTATGCTACAAGCATAAGTTCATTTTTTTCATATGGGATCAAAAATTTTTTTGTAACAAACGTTGTACTCGATGAGATGAATCTAATGATGTCATACATAATGTGTTTTTTATGCTTTCTGAGCTCGAAAACACTACACAAGGAACTTGTCAACGATATTCCAAATTCAGACACGATAAACAGAAAGTGGCCTTTAAATAAGAACCAGTAAACACCAAAGTGTAAATACCAGAGCTATCTGGTGTACCTTAGTGTTTATTGTTTCTTAGTTAGTACGAATCGGGTCATTATTGAGTTCAGATTATTTTGGAGCGATTTCGCGTATCATGGTTTATTCCACAAATGAAGTGGTGGATATTCTACTGGTTTTGGGAGAATGCCGAGCTGCATATCGCGCGGCCGCTCGATTGTATCGACAAGGGTACCGAAACCGATTACGTCATCCCTTACGTCTTCATGCATTCGGATTATCGAGAGAAATTGTCGAAGAGGAAGAGTTCTGCAACGACGACAACGACAACAACGGATGAATCCTGACAATCCTCGTACGCTTACCGTTTTGGCCATGGTTCACATGAACCCTCACATCTCTTTAAGAGAAATTGAGAGAGATTCAGGTATTCCACGAAGCACAGCTCACGATATTTTGGAATCGAACCATTAGCATCCATATCATATCAGATTGACACAAGCACTGTCTGCACAAGATGGACAGAATCGTGTTGCTTTTTGACACTGGGCCATAGGGATCTTGAACGAAAGTCCCGAGTTTTTCCAAAATGTCCTTTTCAGTGATGAAGCGACGCTTGAAAGTACTGGCGCATTAAACCGTCATAATTTCCATTATTTGGTGTATGAAAAATCCTCACTGGACTCAGCACATTGACCACCAGCATCAGTGGAGTGTAAATGTGTGGTATGGCATTGTTGATGGGCAAGTGATTGGGCTGTATTTTTTCAACGGAACAGTCACCGGTCGACGCTATTTACAGTTTTTACAAGATGACCTCCCAGTTTTATTGGAACATGTACACTTTGATACAAGACTAAGAATGTGGTTCCAACAAGACGGTGCGCCACCGCATTTTGCACTTTGTGTAAGAATTATCTCAATGTTCTGTTTCCTCGTCGTTGGATCGGCAGAGGTGGTCCTGTTCTTTGGCGTCCGCGATCACCTGATCTAACTCCACTTGATTTTTATTTATGGGGCTACATTAAAGATGTAGTCTACAAAAATCGACCAACGACTGCAGAAGACATGAAAACACGTATCAGAGGCGCTATTGCCAACATTCCTCAACAAGCGCTTCGAAATGTTGTGCAGAGTTTCCGACGTCGACTTGAGTTGTGTCTTTCTAGTAGAACAATCCATTGGCGCCTTTTTGTTTCTCCTTTATTTTTCTGTTTATCGTGTCCGAATTTGGAGTATCGTTGACAAGTTCCATTTTTAGTATTTTTGAGCTCAGAAAGCATGAAAAACACATTATGTGTGACATCATTATATTCATCTCATCAAGTACAACATTTGTTACAAGAAAATTTTTGATCCCATATGAAAAAAATGAACTTATGCTTGTAGCATAAAAACATGAAAACTTAAATGCTCAAAACATATCTCATTATTTTTCCCACTTGGAGTCCTACAACTTCTATTTGAAAGATTTTTCGATTACTACCGACATTCAATAGTTATTTGGGTGTACAATTTTATCTCGGACACCCTGTATACCTTATATTAATGGATTAAAAATGTAAGTAATTTTTTTTTGATAATGGTTACATATTTTTCTAATTGCAGCTGGAAACTTAACCAAAGAAATTGAGCTGAAGACTCTTCAAGAGGAAGTAATATCTCAAGTTCAATCTGTATCAGTTCTCAAAGCTCGTTACGATAGTTTAATCAATCAATATAATAAATTGTCAGAAGTGTTTATACCAGACCATATAAAAGAGTGTCTAAAAAGTGCTGCAGACGAGAGTCACGAAAAAAGTGAAAAAATAGCCGAAGATTTTCTTAATAGAAAAATTGATGTTGAACGTTTTTTAAGTACATACATAAAATGTAGGAAATTGGGACAGGCAAGACGCACCAAGGAAGAAAAATTGGCGCATCAGTTGAATGAATTGAAACGTGCTGGATATTAGATTGGAATTAATCTATTGCAATTAACTTACTTATTCATACTATAAATGTGGAAATGCAAATATGAAAAATTGAACGAGGAAATCTGTAAATATTTTCCTTTATAGGCATCTTCAATTGTCTTTGGGCAATGAAATTGTATGTACCAAAAACTTATTTCAATATTGTAGTTAGAATTAGAGACCAAAAATGGGATGCAAAACTTCTCTATATCGTAAAAACTTATTTCTGAATATCAAATACTTTTTAAGTTAATCATTTAGCCATTAAAAATATGTAAATTGAACGAGTTTTATGATTTCAAGTGTGCAAGCAAAATATTTCCCATCTCTACTCATCGACCCTGTAATGACGCCAACACTAAATGCAAGTAACTGATTGGAAAGGTGCTATTTATAAATGGTAATTTACACCGTATTTTTAAATACATTTTTCAGTAAAAAGTGTTTAGAAGATAAGTGGAGCTCTTTCCAATCTAAAATTAATGTAATTCAAAAAGCAGCTATCTATTTTGACATGTACTGATCATCAAATATGAGTTACATCATTAATTAGTTAGCTCGGTTTTTGAGTGGCGCAAGTTATTTTATATTTTAGGATACATTAACCGGCCAATTATAATTGGCTTCGCATCTCACGTATAATTGGCCAGTTACTGCCCGCTTAAGTGTGAAATACATTTAAAATCGGCAGACCTGTTGACGCTACAAATTCTACTCTGTAATTTCTTCATTATTACCGGAGTACTGTAGTAAAATAGAAAAAAATATAATTTTATATGTAAGTGCTTAGAAACCCTATAAAGGATAATTTTGACTAAAAAAATTATGAATTGTAAGATTTTTAAATTTTAATGCCGAAACTCTAGATGATATAGTTGACCAAAAGCGTAAATATTTAAAAAATGTGTCAAATTCCGAGTTCGAATATATAGTAACGGTAACATTGAAGGCGGCAAGTGAAACCTGGTGCTCCATTTTTTCGAGATTTGTGATGGTCAGGAGGGAAGCACCATGAGGTCGCTCTCCTTGCGGCGTACTCCTCTCGCCGAAGGTATGCTCATTGGTGATTATCAATTAAATAACGTACGAGGACTCAGCTAGGCAAGCTCTCTAGTTGTTTCTCCCCTTCACAGGGTTAAAAAGTTCTTGTGTCAGACTGGTTCACGGCGCCCAGAATGTCTAAGTCTTGTCGATCCAAGAAGTGTCTTTTTGCGACATAATTGCTTGTTAGCCGCTCACGTTAGTCTCAACCAGTCTAGCCGCTACAACGTCAACAAAAGCCCCTCACAAATTGTGTAGTAAAGAGAATTCACTTCACAATAACAATGCACAATAACAATGGTAGTCTAGTGATTAGGGAGTAGGTTCAGTAATCGTAGGTTCTTCAATTCGACCTCCTGCATCGTCAAAAATACGGTTTTTGCTTCCAAATGGAAACCTTGTATTTGATCAATTTTTCAATTTTCGAATTTCAATTGCAAGTTATCTAAAATGTTCTGAAACACGAAAAAACAATGGTTTTAGACCATGTCTGTATTTTCTAGAAGATTATAAATTTTAAAGATTCATTTGGAGAAAATTCTACATAAATACAGTAAAATTTGTAGGTGAAAATCTGAATTTCCGCGTTATGATAGCTAACACTAACCTTTACTTTGATGCATCGTCTCAGCTTGATCGGTTCAGTAGTTGGTGAGTTATAACAACTTTTATAAAATTTTGTGAATGCAATAACTCAATAAAAAAAAGATATATGTAGTTGAAATTTTGTACACTTGTCGCTCCCAGAATCTCTCTCAATAAAGTTCGGTATTTTGAATGGGCGCAATCGGCTAAGCAGTTTCAGAGATGTTACATTTTTTGCGTGAATATATTTCCTTGAATATCTACGGATTAATAAGCAAGCATGTGTCTGAAGGGGGTTCGCCCGGCAGATGTTATAGCCACCGCCTAAAACCCGTTTCTGAGACTTCACTGGTACCATGGTAAGTACCAGGGTAGAAAATGATCCTGAAATTAGTGCAATTAGTCCGGTGAAATTAGTGAAATTAGTCCGGAGGTGTGGATTCAAATAAATGTGTGTCACGAATGCGGTGAACTGCAAATGGCGTCGCTACCCAGGTAAGAAATGCCGAGCTTCGACAATTGGCTCAAACTTGGCCTATTCTTGGCTTACCAAAGCTCGGCAAACAAGTTTGGACCATACTTCAGCCAATAGTAAGAGCCTCCTTCGGCCAATACTCATAATAGCATGGAGTTCAAGCTCTGACAGCCGAGTTCGGCTCAGCGTTAGATTTTTTTTTTTTTTTTTAACCATGTTTTTTTTTATTCACTAAACAACAGAATATTTACAGTATTTACATTGGATTTTCATTCAAAAGAAACAGGTATATAAAAAAATATATGTTTTAGTATGGGTTTAAAGAAAAAATTTGGTGGTCACTTAGTGACTCTCAATTTTGAACATTGTAATTTTTTTAGTTAATGTGTTTCCACTGATTTAGTTCCCTGTTTCGGGTAATTGCTCCAGCTTCGGAGTATTTAAATTATTTATATTAATGAGTGCGCCCAAAAAAAAAGAAAGGAGATAATTTCGTACTTATTGTCCAAAAAAAAGGCGCTTTAGTAATTACAGGAATAGAACTTGGACAGAATGCATCAATTAATAAATAATTGACGCATTCTGTCCTAACCATATTATGTATATGTTTTTTTTTTTCCTTCAAATGATAACTTAAGACTAAGTGTTTATGATATTATCTTTAATGGATTTATCTCAGTTGATAAATCTCTTTATGTTGGTTATTATTTTAATTCCATTAGGAAACTTTATCTTAGTTTTTATTATTATAATTATTATGGTGGACAGTAATTACTCCTCATGAATCTATTTTGGGCTCTGTTTTGAGGCCTATTTGTCTCTTTGAAAAGAATTTTTCTGTTTTCAAGTTTGGTTATAAATTCATCTTCTTCGTGTATCCACCAGAAATTTTTATTTATTCTATAGAAGTCGATCATGTCGACTTCCGGAATATCTCTGGAGTACTTGAACCTTTCATTTTTGAGATTATGAATTAAAATTTTATTATTTTTTTTGTGTCTTGGGATGTGATATAAAATTGGTCTATTAATTTCATCTTGGAATAGACCGATTTTATCATACCACGTGAAATATTGAGGTTTGATATAACCATATGCTGCTCTATTAGTAGCTTCTTCTTTGTCTATGTTTATGAAAGCATTAATAGTTTCGTTTTTTATGGATTTTAATTTTTGGTAGTAGTTTCTAGCTAGTTTTAAAATGAAGCTCAGCGTTAGATCAAGCCTGCTACCCAAGCGTCGGTATCCAAGGCTCAGCCGAGCCTGGCTGAAGTTCAATCTTCAATCAGTAACCAATTCTAGTAGATATTCACGGTTGGCATTTGATAATCGAATTTGGTTCAATACTGGTTGAAGGCTATCTTGTGAGGTTTGGTTCCACAAACGTCAACCAACTTCCACCACAGTTCCAATATCTTTTAATAAATAATTTATATTAATGAATAATAAATAATTTATAATTTAATGAATAATTTATAAATTTATAATATTCGTAGCTTTGAAATATTAGCATGGATTTAGAAATTTAGGACCTATATGGTCTCACTCTGTCTGTGCATGTGCATCTCCAACACCTCCAAGCAGATAATATTAGTTCTAACTTCTTCTCTTTCGGCAAATGTTGTTTACGGTATTGAATCATGAAACCCAATAAATTGAAATACTTTTCTGAATATCAGAGAGTGAAAAAACATAGATTCATGAAGAAAATATGGAAAGTGAATGACATTATTGATAATGAAGGTGAAAATGTGGATAGTCTAGATGAAGGTGGTTCAAATGACTGTAAAGTGAATAATGAATTAAATAGTGAAATTGAGAGATGACTAGAATTAAGTGGAAGTGAGCTAAGTGCCGTTGAAGACGATCAAGTTGGAAATGAAATTGCAAGTTCAGCGTATTGGACTGAAAATGAAACAATCAATTCTGATGAGGTTATGGACGTTTCCGATTCTAGTGCACATGTTGAGTTTTCGAATGAAATCATTGAAGGAATTTGTGCTTCTGAAGTAGGAGATTTTCCGCCTGATGCCATGTTTACTGGGAATGGAACTGGCCTCTTTGAAAAAAATCCAACGCCGACGTTAAGGGAAAAAATGGTGAAAGTAGCGATCGATTACATTGGTGACACTCGATTACAAGTCAGCACTGACTTTCTGGCCATCCTCAAATCAGAAGGGCATATCAATTTGCCTAGCACAGCAAGTCAACTTCTTGCATTTAAGCACCGAGTCCACTCGAAGCAAATGATAAGAGCAAAAAATAAATTAGGCACATATATTTACTTGGGTATCGAGAACGCTTTATCCAAACGAATCAATCCAGAGGTATATCGAGAAGATGTCATCAGAATTCTTGTCACATTGATGGAGCAGCCATGTACCACAATTCTAGTGAGCAGCTATGGCCAATTTCAGTGAAAGTATATCATAAAGACTATGAATGTGCTCCATTCATTGTGGCTTTATATTATGGTAAAGAAAAACCACTACGAGTTGCAGATTATTTGCATGACTTTGTTAAGGAAACAACGAAATTGACTAGTGAAGGGCTGCCAATTAAAACTAAATTGTATGCATTTAAAGTTCTTGCCATAATTGCTGATGGCCCTGCCCGACCATTCAACTGCTTCAAAGGTCCAACGGGGTTTTATGGGTGTGAAAGATGCACGGTCAAGGGAATTACCGTAAATAAGCGGAGAGTTTATCCGGAAGTAAATTGGGTGAACCTAGGGTATCGCTCCACCACAAATTTATGCTAATATCCCCTACCCTAGGTTACCTATACCTTAGGTTACTATACCCTAGGTTTACCCTCATGGTAAACCTAATATCCCCTACCCTAGGTTACCTATACCGTCGGTTACTATACTCTAGGTTTACTGTAAATGGCCCTAAAAGAACGAAGGGTTCATTCATTGCTCAGGTACAAGAAAAACATCATTTAGAGGACAAAAAACCAAGGAAAAACGTGTTTCACCTCTTCTAAACATTCCTGATTTTGATCCAGTTATGGATGTCCCTCTGGAAAGCATGCATTTGATGTTTCTCAATTTAATGAAGGGCTTGCTGGAAAAGTGGAGCTGAAAAAGCAGAGGAAAAAAAAACGAGTACAGATTAACCCCTGCAAAACTCAAACTGCTTAAAGAGTTGGTGGACTCAGTGACACCTTTCCTTCCAAAAGAATTCCAACGCAGGAAATTTGATATTGAACACATCGCACACTGGAAAGCTACTCAATTTTCCTTTTTTCTATTTTATATTAGTAGTATCGTCCTTCAGTTTGTATTGGATGGAGATAAATACAAACACTTCCTGCTTTCACATGTAGCTATTCGCATTCTATGCAATCAACAGTGGGCAGTTCATTACACTGACTTTGCAGACACATCATTGAGGACATTCTTCCGTTTGAGGCCCAATTTTTATGCCGTTGAGAGTCAAATAAGGCATGCTCATAGTGTGATTCACATTGTTGATGATGTACGCTATTTTGGTGTCGCTCTAAGTGATTTATCTGCTTTCTGGGGCGAGAACTTAATTGGTCAATTGAAAAATTTTGTATCTAGTCGGGTAAAACCAGTAGCACAAATTGCCAACCGTCTCAGTGCGATAGATTCATCAGGAGACATTGAAATCAAGGAACGCAAAGTTATAAAGTCTTTAATTATGAAGCGGAATAAGGATGTTCACAACAGACCTGGGCATTTATTTAAAGCTGTTCATAATGTTCAGTATAATGATTTCATTCTTTGTGATCAATGTCCTGACAATACTGTTGAGTTAAATTCTGGTGAAATATTTAAAATTGAAAAGTTATTCATCGAAGAGAAGTCTCAGTCAGAGGTGGCAACATTGAAAGATCTCAATATTGAAGGATATCAAGTAGTACAAACGACTACTCAATTACAATCAAGGAGCCATTTTTCCCAAGATGTGATAAGCCTCATCTAGGCCTAACTCGATTTGTTTGTAGAGCGATTAAATAAATGTGATATGTTAAATGCAAATTTGTCTGCGTTCATCGATATAACGATTGTTTTGAGTGGTGTCAGTCAGCCTCAGTGAAGTTTTAGCGGCGAAGGCTTTCACAGTCCTGTTATCAACGTGCGCCGTTATAATTATTATCAGAGTTATATTATCTTTTTCAACCACGGCTATTATGACTGATACAAATATTTATATACTTATATGGGTATTTATGTATGATTTTTTTTTAAATTATTGGGTAAACTTTGTCCGGTAAAGTTATCGCTCCACCTCAGAATTTTGAATTATATTCGAGCTTCGTATTCGAGATTGAATGACTGGTAGTAGCCGCTTGCTGCTAGATAGTGCCATACACTCTTTAAAAACTAGAAAAAACAGATGGCGATGGGGTGCCTGCGCGTTGAGACTACGCCATTACTCAATTGTTTCCCATGTGTGCGATTGGATCTCATGCGTCTTTTTTGCCAGATTAGTCATTTTCATATTTCCTGCGTATTTTATAAGTTTTCCAACCCATTCGGTTATCATGGGGAAACATAAGAAGAGGAAGCACGACGATCGGGATGAGAAGACTGAAATGATTTTGAAAATGAAGAAATTAAGCGACAAAATACAGCGGTTGTATTCTGACTCGCCCGAAGGTAAGGGTTCATAAAACCATCGTTGGAT